ACGGCTGCAGCCTGCAGTTCTGATAATCACATTATGTGCGCGGTCACCGGTTCATTTCCTCGGTCAACATCACGTAGGTATATAACAATATGTATATATTATTATAATACATTATCGATATAACATTGCATAATTACATCCGTAAGTGCGCTTGAGCAGTGTTCCACGACTATACAATACAATTTATATGCACACAATGTTATATTATACTTTAGCCGTTACTCTTTGCTCGTGTACAATAGCTACGCATAACATAATATTGTATAGGTATTAGGTAGGTATCCAAATAGTCTGCGTGTTGAAACGTCAATGAAACGCTTCGTATCAACGACTTTAGGTCGTCGTCGTCGTTATAATTTTAATCCGGGTTTATACAGTGCTATATTATGCGAACAAGCTGTATAATATAATATACAAATATAAAAATAACTGTCGTGGACACGAGTGCATAACAATATATTTTGTATTAAAACTCCTCACCACCTACCTAGTATATTATGTAGATATATATTAAAAACGCGATATAATAATGAAATTGAAATTTAAGCATCGAATTTTGGTCAAAAACTTCGATAAGACATCACGCAATATTCGATAAAAAAAAAAGTAGAGTTTTTAATTTATTTCTTATTTATTTTCCCTTCACCTCGAAAGTAAGTATACATTGAAAAAATTTCGATTTCACCAACGAGTAATATGTTTATTATTGAATTGCGACGCGTTATTTTTATTTTTATTTTTTTAAAAGCTATATTTTCTATCTATACATAAAGCACAATAAGTAAATTGGATAATAATAGTAATAAAAAGATTAATTGATTGGCTTGAGGGGGGGAAACCTTCCATCAACAGTACCTCCTGTTAAATTTGGCGGGTTTTCATATAGATGAGAGACCGTTTAATTATTTTATTTTTTGCATTATTAGGCAATGCCGTTTCTTGGCCATTTTCTTTTCGATCTCATAGGAGGGTTGCTGGGGATGGTTAAAGAGGACACACGAGAAATAAGAGGATCATGGTTTCGTATGGAGTTTGAGTGGAATTTTTTGAATGTCGAGTTGTTATTTCATTGACTGTTGAGATTTGTAGATCCTCATGCAATGCGTCGTTGGTCATATACTATGGGACTCCGGTTATTTATCTGAGACATATGGATTGGAGGGCTTGTATTATAGATGTCATATCTCAGATGGTTTGGCTTGACTCCAGATTTGGATACCATAAGACCAGACGCATTATCAAAACGAAAATTATAAAGAACCCGATATAAACATGCGTATCTATGAATCACGGACGCTGTGTTAAGATGTTCGTTTCTGTTWTAAGTGCGTTCGAATTTATTGAATTCAGTCGTCTTTGATTCATCTATAATGTTGTTTGGCGGCCAAACGCAAACAGTTTTAGTCCACCACGGTAACTACAGTTCACCGTATACGGTATAACATGTATAGGTAGAACGATGAAGTCCGCTGAGTCTATTTGTTTGGTTATGCAGAAAAAAAAATTTAATAAAAAATGCTTCGGTAAAAAGATTTAAAACTCTATGCGATGCGTACGTGTGGCGTATTATACACCTATATATAGGAATAAGACGTATAATATTATAATATTATTATCGGCGAGCGATGGTTATAGTTCAAAGCCAAGCCGAGATAACCTCTCGGTGATTAACACGTTTAGCGGTTTGTGCGGGGGCGGAAGTAACAGATGAGGAAGAGCATATTATTATTAGATTTTTAGAAAAAAGAAATACAAATTAATAGGAAAAAAAACGGATGTCAGACCTGCGCGCACCGAATAKTATTATTATTATACATAGCCGCCACTACGCGTTCCCATATTATGTTATAAGCATACCTACATGTATATGTATAAATGTGAAGTATATAGGATAATGTGTAGGTAATATAATATACGCCGCATATTGCCAGGTGGTTCGTGTGCCGCCGCCGCCACTGTGGGACTAGAGGGCAAGAGAAACGAGTTCACCTATTAGTATACGAACCGCGTGGCGTCCGTGTTGTGTGTGTTTGTGTGTGTACTGTGTATGCATTTATTATATGTTTGTGTATATATATATATATATTATTGTGTACAATACCACAGCCTCGCGGAATGCGTTCGATCCACCGACGAAGAGTCCGACCAACTCGATTGTTGTCGGCGTATATATATATTATTATAAATACTCACTTATATACATCTATATGTTATATGAAAATATAACACATGTATTTAAGTAYGACACGACGGGGTGGGTATATACGAGAGGGCGGCCTATAATCCCGAATAATAATAATAATAATAATATTACTGCGTGTATCGACGCGCGACCTTCACGTATATGCACGCGTCACGTTTGTAATATTATTATTATTATTGTATTACATTTTACTCAATTTTATTTTATTTCTCGCTACCTTATGTGTGTGTGTGTTAATATCGACGTTGTAACATAATATACCAATATCACATGGTAATAATAATAATAATAATATAATGTGTCCGTCTAGTGTTGAAGAACGTCAAGTCAGCTAATAACGCGCACACTCGTCAATCTCGCGTCTTATAATATATACAGCGCRCAAGCGGTTATATCTAATATATATTCTACTTCTAAGTGTTGTAGTATAGGTGTATTATAATATCGTAGTTGATATATTATAGACGTGCTGTCCACATTATAAAATCTGTACGATACAATGTATAACACATATTATATAATATAACATTATCTATATGTTGTGTTGTGTGCGACGAGTAACGTCATAAATAATATATTATGCTGTTAATACACGCAACTGCAGCAGTCTGTAAATTGTTGACCACAACTCATTATCTTTATGGATAATCCAACTATACCTATGTGTATAGTGATAATGTGTRCAAAGAAAACGAAATCTATAACCTAAATAAATACCCCTAATTTAAATKTAGTGTTCTTTTTTTCTTTTATTCAGGGTGCTACTGCAGGGTTGATAGACCTCGTCGGCGGTGGTCTGCGCACGTTTGCAGCCGACCGAGGCAATTATTAATGCGTTGTCAGCTGTATTCTCAATAATGCCGCAGTCTTATACCATAATATTTTTTTCTGCAGGTTTTTTACTTTTTTTACTAGGTACTAGGTAGGTACTCGAGTAATGCCCTTTAATAACGTCTTGTCTTTGCAGTTGACTGAAAAAACATTTTATTGT